TGCGATTTTTAATGCATTCCCTGATGGATATAATGTATCCCCGCAAAAACAATCAAAGGCGAGCAACTTGTAGCTATGTAGAGCATATCACGCATTTGAAATTCCGTTTCTAAAGGTTTTCCATGATGCACACAGATTTTTGTGTAAAAAAACTAGGAAAATTCATTTTTCCTTTTTCCATGAAAAAAAAAACCTCTTTCCTCTTCATCGGAGAAATACACATCTCTTCCTAACGACGTCTGTCTAATTGTAAAACCGAAAGGCTCTGTTGCCAAAATTTTTAAATCGTTTTCAAATGCCGCCTCAAATCATTCATAAATACTTCGAACCTCCCATCCCAAGCAGACTATAGTTAAAAAATTAAGACCGTATTTGTAGTCCCTCTCTCTTCCTTTAGGAGGGTCCCGTATGGTCGTATAGGGTGATGAAGGCACGTACAAGGGGGCTGAGCTTTATTAAACATGCAATCTCGCCGAATTTGGAGTAAAATATAGATGAAACTTAGGAAGAGACATGTGCGAGAGATTAAAAACACTGCTCATTACAGAAAGTACAAAATGAAGCAGAAATATTATTAGAATTTCGCAAATATTAAAGCAATTCTTTAATCTACTTCAAAGCATTTAAAAATCATGTTTTTTTTTTCTTTCGAGTTTTGCATTTTCTGCAATGTCACATTAAACCCTTGCATAGAACTACCTCCAAAGCCAAACTCTTCAATTTTACCCTACGGAAAGACTTCACCGAGTTGATTGTGGCGCCTTGATGCAACTATTCGTGTAAAATCGATGTGCGTGTTGCACGATCAGAAATTGAAGGCGCTTCCGCTTTTATCACTTCGTGAGAGATGCATAGGACATGTCTGTTGTAGCACCTGAATGATAGGGCACTTAAGTAGGGGAGTATTGCCAGTCATAGTGACAAATGGCCATAGTATCTAACAATAAGGCCAATAATTCGATTATTATCCCAACCTGCAAAGACGACGCTAAGTCGGTTGCGACGCTTTGATCAACTATTCGTGTCCCACTGATGTGCGTGTTGCATGTTCAAAAATTGAAGGCAGTCTCGCTATTCTCACCATTCATGAAATGCGCAAGAGTCGTCAGTTACTTGTGGTACCCGGTAATGGTAGGCTAAGTTTTGCCGTCTCAATCCTTTTAATACCTAAAAAGGTTTCGCTCTTTGATTTCTCGACGTAGTTCAGGATCTCATGGTACCCCTCCACCCCAAGTTTCTTTTCAAAAAACCTGTTTTATCTATAATTCCGTGTATTAGCCTTAAGTAAAGATCATGTATGCCAAAGCAAATTTTTACACTCGATCAGTCAAATCGAACGGCTAATTGCGTTTGCATATCCTCTTGGCTTTCATTCAAGTGCTGCGGAGGTATTTTGAAAAAACACAACTAAAAAGGGTGGGGGCAGTTTCGCGGTTATCAGAATTTTGACTCTTAGTTTCCGATGCTTAATAATTTCTACTTAGGTAATATAATAGCCAATAATAAAGCTATGAGGTGTAATAATGTTAAGCTATGAGGTGTATAATGTTAAGGTGCTCAATCCCCCAAGATTTGTGGTTTGAAAGAGAGCAGTGGAGGTTAGGAGTCGTAGAGCGCGAGGGAGTGCTGTAAAGCGACTTGTATGTATGTATGTATAAAGCTATGATTTGGATTATCAAATTTTTTATACACGTTTGAAGTGAAATTGAATTTCATAAATTTCGTCGGCCGAACAAGGAAACATCTCCATTTGCGACGTTGCAGATTCCCTGTCATGTTTTATTTTTCATCGGAAAACTAGTCAGTTTAATTTCTTGAAAACTGCTATGATCATCTCTTGGCTGTGGAAAATTCAATCTTTGAATTTCGCTTGTTTCTCATTGAAAAAATTAAAAAGCAGCGGAGGTTTTAAAACACTGCAATGGACATACATGGTTCCCCACTTTGGCCAGCGACTTGGCGCTTTTACATTCATTTTTGTAATTCATTCTCATTCCTCAAGAAGAGAGATTTTCACACGCCATTTTAGCATGAAACTTTCCTTAGAAACTCTTTTTTAATGAACAGCTGCAATCCTGCTGGATATAACGATGTTGAAATCACATTAGCCGACTTTCAAATAGAGAGCATTTCTCGGAATCAACCAATTTACATCAGAAATTACTTAGTCCCCTTTTACTTAATATTAATTTACAAAAAAACAAGGCTGCCTCATTCGGCCTTGAAATTTTCAAGTAATTTTGGTTATATTCCACGGATATTGAACGGAAGAATCTCACGAAAAAAAGCACTTTATTGCTCGAGGTTAGGGGGAGAGTAAAGAACGGAAAGAGAAGAAACTTACAAAAAAAAGTATTACCATTGCGGCATAGCAGATTTTTCTCAATCGTCACATTATCGTAATATATTTTGCACAGGAAAACCGATGAACATTATTTCTTGAAAACTGATTTTCTATGTAAAATGTTGTGTCAATACTTCCAACAATGTCGTTCATGATTTATTTTTTATTTCTTAAGAGTGCATACACATATAAAAATGCATTGACATTTTTATTTCCTCTCAATGTGAAGGTCATGCAGTAACAGTGATAATTGCGCATGAATTTTTTGCTTGCTACATTCAACCGCTTATTGGGCAGACAGTGACTTTCCATTTCAGTATTCTCACCATACCTAAACTACACTCATTCATCACCTAAAAAGTGTGGTTACTGCGCGAAAACCCTTCATTTCAGTCAAGAATTAAACAAATCGCTGAAACTAGTAAGAATATCTCATGACTTCAAGAATAGGTAAATGACGTTAAATATCCTTTGGCAAATATATATGGTGGTTTGTAACGAATCAAAACAGCAGACACAGTAGATTCCTACCGGTAGACTTTTTAATTATTCATTATATTTGTTGCACAGTATTTCCATCTATAGACTTCAAAATATGTGTCAAGTTTAGTCAATCAATGAAAAACTTTTACTCAACATTTTCAAAAAAATCTACCTACCTATTCGATGGTGTAAGTCCGCAACTATCTATCTCATTTGCGGTGTTTGAAAATAGCCAGGGCCGGATTAAGGGGGTGGTCACATAGGCCGCGGCCCATGGCGGCAAATCTATAGGGGGCGGCAAATTTCGCAATTTTTGTAAATGTAGGTGTAAAAAAAAATCAGATTTAGAAAAAAAAATTACTAACGAGAAAAGGTGACAAAATCTCTCATTTCCTGAGAGTATTGTAATTTCTAATTTTGTCGTCTTTCCGTGATACAAGAGACAGCACCTTCAATTAGTCGAGTTAAGAGAGAAACCAAACACGCAATTTGGCCTGGAACGGGTGCGACTTAGAGAGAAATGATGACGTGAACTTCAGATGAAAAGGAGAAGCCCTCGGCGCGGCGCGCGGCGGTCGGCATGTAACACATATTAGCGCCTACAAGACTGCACGAATACTTCACGCATTGCGGCAAACACAGTGCGATCAGCGTGAAACGCATAGCGCCTACAAGACTGCGTGAATACTTCATGCATTGCGCCAAACACGGTGCGGTCTGCGCGGCGCGGCGGCGGAAGTTAAAATCATTAATCCACGTTTATGTTTGTTCTATCATAATTTTTTCGTTCATTTCTTATGAATGGAAGGCCTTGTCCACCCAGAGATAGGTTTACGAAACTTAACTTTCGCGCAAATTTCCGTGAACTTTTGCTAGTGATGTTGCCAGGGCTTTCCCAAAAAATGTTTTCAACACGAGTAAACGCGTCTTATGCACCCTTCCGCCGCTGGCACGTTCATTAGATGGTTTTTATTGATGTTTCAAAACGAATGAGAAGGGGGCGGCAAAATACAGGTGGCCCATGGGCGGCAAGTAGGCAAATCCGGCCCTGAAAATAGCCGCTCCTATTTAATTTTTTGTTTTTTCAATGAGAACAAATCGACATCATACTAGAAGTTTTCGCAGAATTTTCTTCACACAGAGAGGAAAAATCACGGCAATTTTTGAGAATTGCTGTTGAGTAGTTTTCCATTTAAAAAATAAATATTGACAGGAAGTCATGCAACGTTACAAACTAAGATACGCTGTTGCAGACTCACCCCGTCGTATTTTCCCTAATAGTGCACCAAAAGACAAGTCATTATTTTTAAAATATGTTTCATTTTCATCTTCAAGAAACAAATGTTTAACAGCTAGTTTCAAAATGTTTTTGAGCAATTCTATAAAACATCTTGTGCATTCTTAGATTTGGTAAAGCTGTTTTAAATTTTAAGAAAAAAATCTCTTTCAAGTTTGGTCTCAAAAAAAAAAGATGTTTTAGTAATTATAAAATACTCTTAAAACACTTTGACAGGGTGAAGAAAAAATATTTTTGAATTATTTTAGGATTTTCCTCGTATTGAAGACGCGTCTGTTAAAAGTGTTGATATTTTTTTAAGAGATTTATACTTTAAAAAAAAAATCTTCTCTTAATCAATACGCAATGATGGTAGCTTAATTTACTTCAATGAACGCATAGCAGTAATCGAGGCAATATTGATGACTCACACCCCCCCCCCCTCAAATTGCGAGGAGAGTTCCTGAAACATTGAAGAAAAAGAAATCACAATTTTTTCAGAAAATTGTTATTTAACAGGAGCAACTTTGGTGACGTCGCATTTTCATCATGCGTTCCTCCGTAGCCCGGCTGCGACGTCGCAGCACACGCGATTATTTGGACGTATTTCTGTTAAACAGAACTATGTGCATTTTAACATGAGCCCTGAGACCCATAAGAATATATGCATAAAAGGGCTCACGTCATAATGCACATAGTTCTGTTTGGCAGAAATACGTCCAGTTGGTGTTATACCACGTTATAATCTCTTTTTTTTAGAATTTCAAGCGCATGACGCAAGAGAGAAACAATTGAGACCTATTGGTATAAAAGAAACGGATTCCATTAAAAACTGAATAAAGTGCATAGATTTAACCTTACAGCGAGGTCTTGCTCTGTCTAGAGTGAGATCTCTCAATTTTCCGGAGTTTCTTTAAAAATATTAAAAATTTGCAGCTCAGATATTTTGTTATAATATTTAGGTTCCCTGCGAAACAAAATTTTACAAAATATATTGAAGAAGATAGTTGAAAATGTTTTTCATGCGACTCAATTTGGTTGTCATCGCAGCCCTTGCGACGCTGATTTCAACAGTAGTGGTAGGTAACAATATTTAATAAGAGGGCATAACATGTTTCTCAATTTCAGGACAGCAAAAGACATTTTAAAGAACCTAACTTTGAAATCTGAAATTTTAAAATTGTGAGGGAGAAATATCTGAGAAATTGCTAACGGTATCGCCAGTGTGATATTAGCCGACTATCGTTGTTAAAATCATGTATCGAAAAATAAAAATGCTCAATAAAATCATAATGTCAAAAGCAAAAAAAAACTTGATGAAGCAACGCGTCTAAAAGTTTTTCAAGATACCTAGGAAAATGAAGCAAAAATTACAATGAAAATACAACTTTTTTTTCTTTTCAATCAATGTGACTTTTATTTGACATTTCAATTTTTTGTACTGTTCGAGTTCATAAAAATGAACCTCCTCACTTTTATACTATTCTATCACATGAGTTGACAATGTTGACATGCAACGATAGACAATTATAACTTAATTAACAAAAAAATTAAGATCAAATTGAAAATGTGCATTTTTTGTTCACTAATAAAAAATCTCGGGGAGAACTTTCATTCGCAACAAATTCACCTTCGATATTTTTTTACTTGTCAATTTTTTTCCACACATCAGTACGCATCAAAGATTTGTATTGCACAAAGATTTGCGTTAGAAAAACGCTGTGGTCGATCTCTTCTCTCAAATCGTCGTTTTTTAGACGAAATAAAGTAGCCACATTCGATACGTTTATAAATTCGTAATTACCGCTCATAAAAAACCCATAATCTAACTGAGTAAAATCGCAAACTAAATGCTACCGTATTACTGTCTCTGCCGTAAGAAAATGTTGTACCCTTAATCTTGGCACTTTGGCTCAGCTGTTAAACGTTGTCTGAACTTGTTGAAGCCCCTCAATTCTTGAAAACTTTCATGATTTTTCATTTCTATTCGAAAAAAACTCAGTGAAAATTTCAAAACATAATATTGATTTGTCCCTCCTCCAGGGTCGGATTAAGGGTGTGGCCACATGGGCCGCGGCCCATGGCGGCAAATCTAAGGGGCGGCAAAAATTTGCAATTTTTTAAAGTGTAGATATAAAAAAAATCGGATTTATAAAAACAAAATGGACCACTAGACAAGGTACGAATTTCAGCATTCTAATACATTTTTCGTAATCAAAATTTCTCGCAGAACACGATGCGCACAACTAAAATTACCGAAATCGACTCTTTACGAAGATATTTAATGATTCTTGATGCGTGAATTCAAACCACCCGCTTATGAAAACTCAATGCTCCGCGTGATTCACATCGCGCGCTAAACGTTTATCATGACAGTCTCTGCGATATAAAAATCTGGCAATCTCAATCTTGACGCTTTTGTCTCAGCTATAGCAAATTGCATGTAGTTTGGAACAACACATGGTGGGAAATGAACATTGCTCGATTGAGAAGATTACTGAAACCGTTGTAGTGCGCGATTTGACTCACGTAGAGCTTCGAGTTTCTTGTGAGCGGGCAGTTCAAATTCCTTGTAACCAATGTGAAATGAAAAACATTAATTTCTTCGTTAGGAGTTGGCTTCAGTCATTTTCGTTGCGCGAATCGTGTTCTGCGTGGAATTTTGGTTAAGAAATATGTATTAGAATCCTTTAATTCGTGCCCTGTCCAGTGGTCCATTACAAACGAGAAAAGGCGACAAAATCTCTCATTTCCTGACAGTATAGTATTTCTAATTCTTTCGTCTCTTATTGATACAAGAGACAGCACCATCAATAAGTCAGTTAAGAGAGAGACCAAACACGCAATTTGGCCTGGAACGGCGCAACTTTTAGAGAGAAATGATAACGAGGACTTGAGATGCATCAAACACAGTGCGGTCATTGCGGTCAGCGTGAAACGGATAGCGCCTACAAGAATGCATGAATACTTCACGCATTGCGCCAAACACAGTGCGGTCAGCGTGAAACGCATAGCGCCTACAAGACTGTCGGAATACTTCACGCATTGCGCCGAACACGGTGCGGTCTGCGCGGCGCGGCGGCGGAAGTTAAAATCATTGATCCACATTTATGTTTATTCTTTCATTATTGTGTCGTTCATTTCTTGTGATTGGAAGGCCTTGTGCACACAGAGATAGGTTTACGGAACTTAACTTTCGCGAAAAGTTCCGTGAACTTTTGCTAGTAGTGTTGACAGGTGTGTGCAACACGTGTGTTCAACAAAAAAAAATGTGTTCAACACGAGTAAATGCGTCTTATTCACCCCTCCCCCGCTGACACGTTCATTTGATGGTTTTTATTGAGTTTCAAAACGAATGAGAAGGGGGCGGCAAAATCCAGGCGGCCCATGGGCAGCAAGTAGGTGAATCCGGTCATGCCCTCCTCGAAAAAATAAAATGGGAGCGGAGATGTTTAAACACCGCAAACGAGAAACATGGTCCGGTAGTTTCACCGTAGATGTACTAGAACGCTTTTTGTACCTTGTCTACTGATCATTGTGCGCTTAAAAGTTGATTTCAGATTTTTTTCATGTTCTCATCACGATTACCGTGTGATTTAATTCGTTTTAACCGTCGATGCATTAGAACGCTTTTTGTACCTTGTCTACTGGTCATTGCGCGCTCAAGAGTTGATTTTAGAATTTTTTCATGTTTCTATCACGATTTGGTACCGTATGATTTAATTCGTAGAGAGTCTATTCACATGGCTGTACCTCTGGAGTACAACAGACCAATTCTCCGCAGACCTGTGTCACGGATCGTATCAGGTGAGATCGTATCGATTGGTTCAACGTGTTAACGTAGCCTCAAAAGTCAATCGAGCAATCTGAGGAAACGGGTTTTTTGTGATAGATTTTTTATTCATATGAGTAAAATATGGCAATGAAAAGTGAAATCGTCAGTAATTTTCCCATTTTCAGCTTTTTCAACTTAAATCCTACAATTTTTGTTTGAAGTTATGTTCTACACTGAAAAAAATATTACTGTTCACGGGGCTCCTGCACTTCTCTTGTAACAGTCACAGGAGCTTCCGTTGTGAGGACAGAGTACTCTGTTTCCACGACCGAGGTTCTGTTCTCGCAACAGAAAAATTCTACAAGTGTAACAAAGAAACTGCAGGAGCCCTGTGAACAGAAGGTTCTGTCTTCAGCACCATCTATTTTTTTCTGTGTATTGTTTTGAACCAAACGATACATCGAACTACTATCGATTACGATCTACAGGGTTATTCAAAAGTCACGCATCACTGGCCATAACTTTAGTTCTAATTAAGATATCGACTTGCGGTTTTTTGACGTTTTTCCTCTTATTGAGGGGAAAACTTTTTTAGGAACTTTCCAGTTTTTGACCCTCGGAGGGGGAGGGGACAACTAAAAATTTCAAATGGCCACCCCCCCCCCATGGCTAATGGTGCGTGACTTTTGAATAACCCTGTATAACGCCGATTTTTTTAGGGGCCGCCGCAAGTGGATCAGCAAATTGAGTTCTTTCGGATGCACTTGAGGAGGTACAACGAGCAGGATGGATGCAGGGATAAGCCGTGGGACGTAGAGGACGGTTGCCCGTGGCCCTTCGACGACTCTTTAGCGAAACAGAACTGTCGCAACGCGAGGAACGCCTTCCTGAGTCTGACCGACGAGGAGAAGGATCGCATCTGCCCGGAGGCCCAGCAGGCCAAGTGTCGCAAGTGCGGGAAGGTCCGCTACGGCTGCACGTTCATGTGCCGGCCCACGCTATCGGAGGTGAACGCAGCCGCCTTCGCAAATCGTCCGCTTAGCCAAAGGCTCAAGTGCAAGCATCTTGTCAACATCGTCGCACAAATTAACCGACCAATGAATCCGTAGAGAGAGAGGCTGAGGTGGTCGCAAATCCGCCGTAATAGCGAAGAGATAGTAGTAAGTATAAAAATGAAGTTTTGAGAAAACGGGAAAACGGCGTCCGGCCGGAAAATTTCATCGAGAATTAAAGGAGGTATTTGCATCCTCAAGGACCCCGTGATGTACGTCGGTACAGTATGGCCAACAAAATCCGGAATTCGAAGTATAAAAAACGGACCATAAAGTCCGATTTTTTGACTCATAATATAATTTCAAACAATTGATACAGAATGACTATTTTCCATAAACTGCACCATTTCTAAGAAAATTAATGATAAAAGTTATCCATACCGACCTACGTCATCAAAAAAATCAAAGATCCGCGAAATGCAAACATCTCTTTTTTTTTGTCTGTATGGGAAAATTTTATTGAAAAAGGCCTCCGTTCTTTCTTGGTCGAATTGCCATTATTCATCCGAAAGAATCCTAGAAATTGTTTGGATGATCGACCAATTTCATTTCAATTACATAAAAAGGGTATTTTTCATTTTCATATTAAGCGAGTGTCAGGTGAGACAACCGTAAATTCCATCTTCTGCATGCTTTCGTGGTTGCGTTTTTGACGCACAAACACATTTTCACGTTAAAAATTGGCAGAAGAAGGCGGCACTGTGAGAGGCACTGTTTTCATTGACTCTCGGGGGAATAATGTCACTTACTACTGATTTGTCTGAAACCGCGTCATTTTTTGTGCACTCACAACTTTCATATGTGTCTCGTTTTAATAAAAATAAGATAAATTTTGCCGTTTTAGTTATTTCAGGGATTTCATCTACAGGAGATAAGATGAATTTTGAGGGAAGCTCGATTTCGAAAATTTGACACTTACTGCTCTTTTTGCTTCCACTTCAGAGTTTCCGGTTTGTTCCTACCGTTACGTAGCCCCGCTGAAAACAACCTTATTGGTAGGTAATAGAATATCCGGATAGGGAGAGTATGGGCATATCGAAAAATGGAGTACTTAGGACCCAAAAGAGCTGTCAACCTTTCGAGGGCCGAAATACAGGATCAGCCTGAGCTACGAGGAAAAGCATTACGATGAAAAAACTGAAGAATTGCAAATCTCGGTTTACGGCGATGCAAACTTTCTGCCATACTTTATTATCTACATGGAAACTTACTAAAATGGAGTGTAAATGGAGGTAATTGCGTCCACTTCTTCGTTCAAAAATGTATTACAAACTCTCCTCTCAGATTTGAGAATTTTTGTTATTTTTTCAGTGAATAAATTTTGATTTTTAAAATCAAAAAAGAAATGTGTTTTCTCCTATCTCCAACCGTGAAAATTCTTGTCTCGGAGATGATTTTGGTTTTAGTCTTCCTCGTCTCTGGTTTGCGTCGATTCTATATGAGGTTGGCAACGACATTGTTTCCTCCATTTACATTATGTGAAAAATTCGATGCCCATTATTCGAGGAATGCATTTTAAACAGAGCAAAAACAGCTATGTCAACTGCCAAGAATCACTACAGCCGATTGAGCTCCCACAGACGTTTCACCTAAAAAACGCCTTAAAAAAATTCGTCTAATTCCTTTTCACCTTTTATCTTCAAACAACTGTCACGTAAAAATGAATCACCTATAAAAATATTTTAACTGCATTCACCAAAAATATGTTTTTACCTGTGTCCTTGAATTTTCTTCCAACCGGAGCAACCTTTTATGAAATGAACGGCAGATATGATTTTCGAGGAACAAAAAAATCCCATCATATTCATTTCGGCTGACAAGTCGTGTTTGAAGTGTTTGATTATAAATCGTACTTGTCTCTTGGATGATGAGCCCTTGAATAAAGGCACTCTTATGTAGGTCGGAGCTCGCCAGGAAATGAACTCATCGGGTTTTTGTTCGAGGTTCACCACGACTTCAAACGTGACATGAGTTCGCGTGATAAAAAAGCGAGCGAGAAAAAATTTTCCTGCGATAAAACGTAGAAATTAAGTGGGCGTTCAGCGAAACTCAGATTCCAGCTTCAGTTCATCTCTTTTGAAATGGATGGAAAAATCAAAATTAATGAAACTTTTGACATTCTGATATTTTAATGCTTTTCTGAAAATCGGTAGATTTTTATTCAGGCTTAGAGTGCTTTAAAAGTCTAGACTCTAAATCAAAACAGGAAAAATTTGGTTTTAAAATCGGGATTGCGTGTAAAAGAAAGTGCACATCTCTTTTAACTGCACGCCACCATCAGCCCACCTCATTCGCAAAAAAGTTGATTCGTATCCACTATATCGATTACTGAAATCGAAAAATGCGTATCTCCGATTTGAACACTGCAAATATCCGATCATGTTCTCGGAGTATTATTCAAATTACTATTTTTTTTAGAGGAGACCAACCATCACGACCATCGGTTTTATTTAAAATTTACAGTACATTTTTTTCGCCTATTAAAATTCATTCGATCATGGACAAAGCCAGAAAGATATTTTGAGCTGTTTCCTTATAAAGAAAATAGAATATAATCAAAGTTTTGGAGATAATATTGTGAAAAATGCACACATTTTCTAACATAAGATATTGATACATAATTTAGGGTTTAGAGTTCAAAATCACTTATCTCCACTGAGGCGGCGTGGAGTGTTCTTCTACAATCAATTTTTGACAAAACGACAACGACGAAGCTGAACGCCTAGCAAAATTGGAAATCCGCGTATGAAAATAATTAAGTCCTCCATTTCGACGATGAAACTGTAAAACCATTAACGCTTTAGAGGTATTTGAAAATGCTCGCTCCCCTTTCATTAAGGTGAATAATCTATATATCGATGGTGAAAGTGCAGAAGTGCGTATCTCTGAAAACACGATTTTCCAAGAGAGTAAAAAAACCTGTCTACATTCCTCTTTATTGTTAGTAATAATTCCTAAGGATACCAGGAATGAGATCCGGACTCCGTCAGCATTTTTAATAATTTCTCGAACTGTTAGAAAATTCGACAGAAATACCGAGATTCGCGTTTTCGGCACTAAGAATTGACACTTCATCACGAGATACGCATTTTTGCAACTAGTGTTTTAAACCTGTTGTTGGCAGATTTGGATCATTTAAAGACTGAAAAAAGAGTTTCATGCTTACAATTCCTTATCACATAAGATTTAGTTTGATTTCATATGGCCAGATCAAGCATTGTATGATTGGAAAATTACATTTGATCAAGAGATACGCATTTCTGCAATTATTAACGTTTTGAACCTGCTCTTGATCATTAAGATTAAAGATAAAGTTGATTCGTACTTGAAACTTGTTCGAAACAAGTTTTAGTAGATCCAATACCGTGTGTCATCAGTAAGTGAATCAGAGAATTGGCCTCCTTGAGTAACTTTTACACCATTGATAGGCAAGAAGACGGTGCGTAGTCTTTAGAATATATCGTCTCTGCTTGGACCCTCAAAAAATTATATGGGTAATACTTTTTTTCCTCCAACACTTTGGCATATATACCGTTAGAAACCTACAGCCATCTATGTGTTTAAGTTAGATATAGTGCCCGTGGGAATCCGGAGGACATCCATGCTCCATCCATCCACGCTTTATGCCTTTCAATTGGACCAGTGGACAAAGTACCTTTTCTCCAATTTTGATTATTCACAGATCATCTGTGAAAGCTCTTTTTGTCCGTGCGAAATTTATTAAATTCACAACTGCTTTTGAGTAAGTTGCGATCATGTAAGCGGCGATTCTCTCAGTTTTGCATGAGAAGACGATGACCAATGCAAGAAGACCACTGTCAGAACCAAGCGTTTGGGCTCTTTTTTTTTAAATTAGACTTACAGATGAAGAAAAAATCTTGCTATTCAAATTAATGTTTTTAGGGCATTTTTTAAAATTACGGCTCAACTGAAGACACCGAAATTATAAAAATGATTGGTCAACATCATTGTACAGGGCCACTCAAATAAGATACATGCATGCGCCTTCAACCCACTCCGTAATATCAATGCAAATTTCTGATACCACTATTCGTGCGTCACGACAGTCAAATTGCATAGCCGGCTAATTGAAGGCTATAATCATTGACCGAGGCAACAGGGTACGAATTTCAGCATAGTGATACCTAGGGCGGCAAAACCATCGAGGGCTGCTCCACCTCGTGGATTAGCTGTTCAGCTGATTAGCTGTTAAGTGCAGAACAGCTGATCAGCTTACGTATGCTTCAGGCAGGAAACGCCGAGGATCGCGCGTTGTGCGTCTCTTGTTAGCAGATAGACGACATCTTCAATAACATGTGTATGCAGCTGACTCAAACCTGTCAAAAATCGAGATACGCACTTCTGCTTTTTCACCATCGATATGGTGGTTGTTTTTATTCCGTGTATTTACGGAATTTCCCGAGAATATTCTTGAAGACTTAGAGCGGCAAAAAAAAAATCCATCGAACGATTAATTGAATTAAAATTTTTGTTGGACACTGTATTGTTCTTAATAATGTCCGGGGCCCTGCTAAAAATGGTGAGTACAAATGAATAGAAAATCAAAGTCATACGATTAGAATTTCAATTCATATGAATGGAATTTAAACTCATATGAATAGAAGTTCAACTTATATGAATAGAATTTCACTCATATGAGCAGAATCTATTCACTTTTCGCCAACTTGTATGACTAAAAGATTCCAACTCAAATGAGTTCAGCGTTTAATCTACCGTGTCCGATATCTCAGAAACTAGTCACCGCATCAAAAAAAATCATAAGAACAAAATGTTTTTATATGTCAAGTGTACATATTACATTACATAGGTGCCTCCTGGTCAGAAACAGCACTTCTGAAAAATGAAAAAAATTGAATTCATATGAGTTAAACTTTTCTACTCTTATGAGTAGAATACTCTTGTGATGTGAGTATAGAGTTTTTTTTCATATGAGTAGGATTTCTACTCATATAAGTAGGAAGCTCTACTCATGTGAGTTGGCGAATTCTGAATAGCCGACGTGTCATTTTTAGCAGGGGGAATACATTTTGAAATTTCAAAGTTCAATAGAAAGGATTGAAATGTCTCTCATCCTTGTGAAATTTTTATAGCAGTATTGAACATGACAAAAAAGTTACAGAAGTGACGAAAAAGTTGACGTTCTGACAAGGAAAGTGACACCAAAAAATCGAAAGTACAGGCATTCTGGTCGGAGTTGAATAGTTGCAAAGGTCGCATGACAGATTTTTGCTAGACACGGATAGTATGGATGAACTTATTTTAAGGTAAAATCACACGAAAATCACGGTGAGCAATCGAATATATGTGAAATTCACTCCTTTGAACATGAGTTGCGTGGTTCATATCACGCTTTTGCAAATTTACCACGCACTCTTGTGTAGACAGACACGAAAACAAGCACATAATATGTTGACATGTCGCGTCATTTACTCGTGTATCAAACCGATAGTTTTCATTCATAGAGATTTTGCGGTAAGTAAGTAGCAGAATAGCCAATGAAGGATGTAATCAATCTAATACAATTGATGGCGAATCACGCATAAATTTTTTCGAAGATCGAATTGATTCTGGCACGCTATTCTCTCGACAGTGCCAATTTTTCCCCCTCTGAAGCGCATATTGCTCATTTTTTTACTGTTTGCCGAGGCTCGAGGGCATGTTGTCGAGGAATATTAATTTGAAAATTGCGTGATCAGAAGACCATCGTGAAAAAATAAAAATGAAAACAAAATAAATAGCATTAAAAAAAGCATGCTGCCTTTGAACTGGACGTTTCGGGGGCCCATGTTAAATTATCTCTGGTCATTAAAGAATTACCAACATATCGTACTAAACATCGCCGAGCTGAGGCAAAAAAAGGAGTTGAGAATGAAACAGTTTGACGAGGCCTTTTTTTTCTCTTTTTTTTTTTTTTTTTTTTTTTTTTTTTTTTTTGTTTTTTTTTGGGGGGTGTGTCTTTAACCCCCACGAGTGTATCAAAATGAGCTCGCTCATATTGTATCGCTTCTGATTCTGAATCCCGATCCCTCGAAAAATGTAATTAAGTAACTAAATAATGGAAAATAATAAATAATAAGTGGAAAACTACTTTATAAGACACCTTACTCACAAAAGTCGAGGAATCTAGCAAAATCTTCTGCTCTACAATTATGCCGGACTGGTTCTACTAAAGTTGTTTTTTTTTTTTTTTTTTTTTTTTTTTTTTTCTCTCTATGACGTGAATTCTACGGGAAGTAGATCAGTGCTATACCAAATGAAAATCTGATACGGCTGAATCAAAGCACCAATTTGTATTTCTTCGGAAGAAAATATTCCACAGGAAGCGATTGATTCGTGAGTACAATTGAAGGAATTAATCTGACAATAATAGGAAGGCAACAATACTAAATCAGTGTGCAATACTTATGGAATATTAGTTTTTGAAAATTGGTTCAGGAAAACTAATTTCTCGACACTTTGACATAAAAACGATTTTGCTCGTTCAAACTCATATTTTTTTTTTTTTTTTGTTTAACGAAAGCTTACAGATGGACCAGGAAGAAAAATTAAAATAATTTATCCTATTGTATCTCGAAAAATTCACGGCGGATTTTAAAATGAGCACATTGGTTTGCTCGCATTAAGTAGGCAGTGGAAAACTTGCAACGTCGCAAATTGAGGCATGAATGTTTTTTTACTTCACCGTTGGTGATGGGAGAATGTGTAACTGCGCACGCGCTTGGGTTTTTTTTTTCAACGGAAATCGTCATCTTCCGCCAACGAGTTGAGGCGATACCGCTGAAGGCGCTCCGAGCAACTATTCCGCCACGGAAGTGTTGCACAGTATCAGGCGTAATTGAAGGCGCACTAAAGTTCGTGAATTGAGTGGTGACTGGTATCGTTTACCACTATGTAGCGATCTACTGATCCTGCGATATGAAGCTCAAGTTCGATCGATTTTTATGAAACTCGATACCAGATGACATTCTTTAACATGAAACTTGAATAGCAACTCAAATTTTCACAATTAAAAAATCCAAGATGGTGGATGTGGCTTAAAATGATATCTCGACTTCTGTTCGATCGATTTTTGTAAAACTTGGCGCCTGAGGGTATTTTTTGACGACAAAGTCGAATTCTCAGTCGAATTTTCAAAATTCAAAAATCATGAAACCAGAACTTCCACACTATACGGAAGGCAGCAGTGCAAGGTCTTAAAACTACTTTGTCTATGTGCCCGGACCAAGGTTAAAGAAAGAGCACAAGTCACATTAAGTAAAACGAGAAAAAAATCCTTGTGGTTTTCTTCTTTTTTGGGTTCAATGTAAAAACAAATATCAAGATCATGTATTGATTTAAGAATCTTCAACGTGGACTGAGATTTTGTGGCGGAAAATCGTGATTAATCTGGTCATAAACTCACCTTAAAATCAGGTTCCGGAGTTTTTTTGAAAGACCCAACAATGAACACATGGCCAGTTCCTGAGTCTACCATTTTGGCATTTGTTTTAAACCTGAAACAATCAAATTACGGAAACATGTTTAAGAATATTGACGTTTACGAACATTGTAAATTTCTTATGAAATCACCATGGTGATCATGGTGGTCACCATTGGTGAAATTTACAATGAGATTGATTGAGATTGCAATCTCAATCAACTTAAAAACAAATGCGTCCCCGAAGATTTAAAAAACATGTTGGTTTATTCTTCAAATTAAATCAGTTGTTTTCAAAAGGGAACAGGTCCATCTCTTGATGAGCCTTCGTTAGCATGTCCTTTTATGCGACTCAAGGCTCATGCAAAGATGGATTTTTTCCCTTTTGAAAGCAACCTTTTGGTGGTGAATATGTGCGTAATCTAGAAGAATTTTTTAATAGATATTGGAATCGGTTGTTTTCAAAAGGGAACAAGTCCATTTTTGCATGAGCCTTGAGTCGCATAAAAGTACATGCTGACGAAGGCTCGTTAAGAGATGGGCCTGTTCCCTTTTGAAAACAACTGATTCCAATATCTATTAAAAAATTCTTCTAAATTACCTGCGTACATATTCACCACCACTGAACATCATTGGACAAGATTTTCAATCATACATGGATTCAAAGAATTCAATCACTTTTTTTTCAAGGTTTTTCAAGAACCATTCATTTCTCTGCTCACTCAGAGAAAGAAGGGTTTAATTTTAAAGGTGACAGTAGGGAAAGCACGACAGCAGCACTCAATCCCGACAGGATCTAATCGAGATTGGAATTCTTGCGTTTCATAAAATGAATTTAGTGCGCTCTTAAAATTCTTTTCCTCTCGGCGAAGTTGTTCTCCAATCGTGGAAATCTCTCCTCCGCTGTCTTTGAAGACGCGAATCGTCCGCCGGGAAAATCGATGAGGAAGAGAAAATAAATGCACGCCTCGGCGGAAAATAAAACGAAAACAAGCTGGAATTAAAGTTAAGCTTCAATCATCTTTGCGCGAATAACTTTGCCGAGGCACTTCCATCGTTCCGAATGGTCTGCGACATGATGGGCGGGATTTTCAGATTTACATTTTTAATTTCTGGAGACAAAGACGTTGTTGATAGAAAGAGACCTTATAACACAGGTCCACAATAATGGGCTACTCGACAGGGCGAGGAAAAAACTACGAGATACGTTTCATCGTCAAAATTGCACGCAAAGGACATCAAACACGATGAAAAATCTCTAAATCAACATGACAATACAAAACTAAAGTTTACAGTTTACATTAGGATCAGGAAATTTAAATTTCCCTCGCACAAGAAAACCCATAGTCAATGTAGGTCTTTGTGATCAAAATCAAGATCATCGTTTGACTAATGACTAATGTTGAATTCTACAAAAAATTTGCCGTTTACTCAAAAGCACGACATTTGTAGCTTGTTTCACCTCCCATATTAACCAAAAGTAACATAAGAACACAAGTATTTTTATCAATGTACCAGGCGAATTGTTGCAAAATAGGATTCGCCGAGAAAAAAAGTTCGGTCATATGAACCGAATGTACGGTGTTCAATATCGGCCGTATTGTTCGGTTCGTGGGGCCGCTCTTCCGGTTCAGGAAGCCGTATGCTCGGCTCATGCCATCAAGGTTTTTTCGTTAACTCTGTTCGGCTTGAATGCTCGATTGCATGAACCGAGGAAGCGGTCACATGAACCAAAAAATACGGCCAATATTGAGCACCGTATTCGGTTCATGTGACTGAACTTTTTTTCTCGCGAGGTTTCTAAATTAAATTGCATCCGAAAGTGGTTGAGCTTTCGTCTTTTCTTAAAAGCTCACTCCAAATTACTGGCCCTGAAGGAAAAAATCCTTTGATTTTTTAATCTATTTAAAAATTCACGCCAACCGCCATTAGAGCAGTTACCCCACCCTTGCAAAGGCGAATCTAACTACCGAGGTACGTGCTTTCTTACCTACTAAACTGCCTCACATTTTGCCTCTTTTCTGTACTTTTTTTCGCTAAACTTTGGTGTTCACGCCAGTAATCATAGTCTGAATCGTTCGGCTAATTTCTCGGATTAAAGGTAAAAAGAGGGAAAGGGGGTGGGAGGGGGGCGTCAAAGACCTGGGTTGATAGTCACGTCACAAAACGGAGCCACGAGAGGCCTGAGAAGAGTTCACACACCTTCATCCGTTATTCATGACGTCACTTCGTTCGTTTCCGATTCAGACGGCCGTTTCCGGACTCGCTGCCAAAATTCACGGTTTCCACGGAAAAAAAAGGTGGTTTTATAACCGATCTGGAAAATGTTTGGTGATATCGTACTCTTGTGCTCAATCAGTGTTATGTGTTTCCATTTCCGACATGAGCGCTGTATGATAAATAATAACGAGAAACAAGAATCGACGCTGAAAAACGGGAAGTTCATAACTTAACTTCTCGATTGATTCTCCCTGTGCATTCGCAAGGCCAACAAAAAAAATATTTTCTTTTTAAGGATCGAAGAACTGCAACTTATCCATCTCAAGCACCTGCCGTACACACATACTGGGGTTCTTAAATTGGCACCAATTCTTGAATTTCTCAGCCACTTTGCACGAAATTCCTTGAAGATTTCAAGATCTGATCTATGATGTGTCTAAAAGACATCGATTATTATTGCAGATCGTCGGGTTAACGATCTTTGAGAGGCAACAGTCAACAGTTCCATTGATAAGCCTCTTTGATAGGTGCTTCAGTAATGTGTGCCTGAACACCGTTTTCTTTTCACTGGTAAGTGTCGGACTGATGGGTAGTATCGAAAAACATCCTTACCGAAAGTTAGCAAAAATATGATGAGACAAAAAACAAAAAAAAAAAAAAAAAAAAAAAAAGGACCCTCTTTATCCGATTAATGTAAAACTACCGGAGACGATGGGCAATCAATAACTGACGGAGGAGTTGTTAATTTTTCGAAATTCTTTTTCAGTACAGTGTGGCGGTGGCTTCAAAAAATTCCACGCGGATTTTCTCTTATCGGGCGCGTCTCGCTCGTGCCGAGCAACCTCCTTCAGCAAAACTTCAGGACTTCAGAAATCGTTGAAGATGATCGCTTAGCGCAACTTAAACGCGTCTGATGAAAGAATATCCGCGAGCAAGTGAGTTAAACTTTAATTTTTTGACCGAATGTTCCTGCGCGAGCCCGATCTTCTTTTTCAATACACTAGAAAAAAAACACATTGAATCTAGAGTCCAGACTCTTAAAACCATCGATAAGAAAAAATACTCTTGATTCAATCAGATTTAAGCTTAAATCAAGAACCAAGCCTCTTAATTTGAGCGGATTTCCTTTTGATTTAAGCTTAAATCTGATTGAATCAAGAGTCCTTTTTCTTGTCAATGTTTTCAAGAGTCTGGAATCTAAATCCAATGTGTTTTTTTTTTCCAGTGTAGTATAACTCAACTTTCATCACCATCGTGAAAGCTCGCATTAAAAATCGAAATTCCACCGGAATCCGGCAACATGGCGGACACCTATTCATATTGATAACAGGTTCGACGAGGGGTCACCTTTTGATTGGCGCGAGGAGCAAGAGGGAATCAAAACGCGGGCGGCTCGATAACAATTTCACGGCTCGGACGGCTATTTATCATTGGCGGGAAAAGCGCGGAGCCGCGGTTGGTTCCCCCGGCCCGGCTGCCAATCACGGAGCCCGATTTGCGGGGTGTGGGGAATTTGAAAATTAAAGGCTCGCCCGAGCCGGGCTCTGCTCCGCGCCTCGCTCGCATCTTTTGCGGTCCTCGTCTCGCTCCGTCCCTCGGCTCTTGCGGTTCAAAGGTCCCGGTCCGTCTTGTCGAATCGCCCGCGAAATCACCGCATTTCGAACCGAATCCACCGGTTCTTTAAACAAAAATAAAATGAACTGCATTTTGCAATTTGGAACTATAAATTGGACAACATTTTCCAATTTTGAACTATAAATTCTAGCCCGGTTTAAAAACAACGTATGTGCCATTAGTTTCCCTATGCACGTAAGTGTTTTTCTAGAAGAGCCAGAATTTAAGTTCGAAATTGCAAAATGCGGTGTAATTGTGGCTCTTCTGGAAAATCATCTACGTGCATAGGGAAACTAATGGCACAGACGTTGTTTTTAAACCGGGCTAGACTTTATAGTTCCAAATTGCAAAATGTAGTCCAAATAAAGGAATTAAATGTTTACCAGAGTACGCAATTTAAAAGATGCATCACGGAAAAAAGTGGATTGCTAATTTAACAATTCAGTTGTAAAAAAAAGTGACTGCAATGTTTCAAATGTACATTTTACAATACTGGGAAAGTAATTTAACCACGGGGGTGCTGAAGTAGCAATTTTCGTTGTTAAATCTACATTGAAACGTTGCAGTCACTTTTTTTTTCTCAACAAAATTGTTAAATCATGCAGCAATTTCGATTTTTTGGAAAAATTAACTGTTTATTTTTTTGGATGGATTTCGGCAAGATGCCATCTTCAGCAAGAACAATTTTTCAAGACGCATCAAACAATATCAAGATAAAAATGTGTCACAATGGATATTAAAACAATGATCAAAACTACCGAGGAGGATCAATGAAAAGCTATCGGAAATTGAAATAAAATGAAAAAAAAACGGATGCACCGTTCGGACTGAATTTTATAATGGGTGCTCTGGTATATATCGACGGTGAAACTACCAGACCGCGTATCTCGTTTGCGATGTTTAAAAATTTCCGCTCCCATTGTATTTTTTGAGGGAAAACAAATCTATACCCTCGTAAAAATTGGCAGTAGAATCTGTGTTCTAAAATACCATAGACCTAAAGCCGACTGTAAGATTTCCAATAGCTTCTAAAGCCGGCTGTACAATTTCTTATAGCCTCTTATAGCCAATAGCGATTAAGCAACAGCCAGACGATAAAGTTCATGCTAAACGTTACTAAATACGGATACTAGGACTTAGTGAGTTTTTGGACTACCGCTCTCTTTTTGTGCCGTAGTATCTTGATATATTTTGGTACGCTGCGGCGCGGTGCGGCGGGCGGGCTGAGAGCGCGGAACGCGC